CCCCCCCCCCTCTTGAACGAGGGCCTCAAAGAAGGATCCTGTGCTACGAGGGTCTAGAAAGTAGTAGTAGCATGTAGTAGTCGTGCCCCCCCCCTCCCTGTGCTACCAGGGCCGAAGGTAGAGGTGGGCATCCCCAACCCCACTCCGGGTTTGAAAATTAGGAGACCCTTCGGGGGCGGCCTCTGGTGGCCACAGGCACCCTATGTTCCTCGGTCTGTTTTGGACTCACAAGTTTCGCCACATTTGCTTGGTTTGCACTGGGTGTGCTGAAGCAACGCTGCAAGCCTTCTGATTCTGAGGTCAACGAACTCGCTTCAGACATTTCAGTCTTCGAGTTTGATAAGGAAGCTGCTGAGGCCATTGTCGCAAGTGAACCCTGAGTGTTGGGCAGATCCCTGCGGGTATTATGTCCGCCACATCACAGTGGACTTTGAACAATGAATACGTACCAGCAATGACCCCACACATAGGAGCAAGGACGCTACTAGTTGCTCCTGGCCTTACTACTAGTAGCAAGAACGCACCCCACATGTCAAGCTTTCGAGTGGAAAGAAGTGATATCGACAACGGGTAGGACAGGAGAGATAGCGGTTGGTGTGAGAAGGTCTGACCCCGACCTCAACAACAGCAGACAAAAGAGCAGCGCAGTAGAAAGCAGCGCAAGAGCGGCTTTGGTGTAAGTTAATGTGAGTGAGTTGGTGTGAGTAGGTTGGTGTGAGCGAGTTTGTGCGGGTAAGTTGGTGTGAGTAAGTTGGTGTGAATAAGTTGGTGTAAGTGAGTTGGTGTAAGTGGCTGCTGGGAGTAAGTTGGTATGAGTGAATTCGGGTGAGTAAGTTGGTGTGAGAGAGTTCTGTTTTGGGGGTAAGGTGGCGGGAGGAAGACGGGAGTAGCCCGTAAGAGTGAGAACCTCACTAGCACCTTTTCCAATCCGCCTGGATCGTGGATTTCCGACTGCAACAGATCTGCTATGCACATGTAGAACACTCAATTCAAGCAATTTGTGCACAGCCTTTTTGTTTGTTTTTTTGATTGCTCTGAGTCAACGAGGCTTGAACAAAGTCTTTACACTGTTATTGTTGACTCATTTGCAAGTCAGCCCCTCTGAGCGTGCTTGTGCAAACTCTGAAGCTATATAAGATTATATAAGATGATTCAATCAACTGTAATCTAGCACTTTTTGCGGCCAGAATTTGACAGTGCCACATAAAGAGCTGTGGAGAATTCCGTTCGGGGCGGTGTTTTGCAAGGCCATCATCCAAGGTGGTGCTGACTACACCGAGGCCATCATGAAAAGACCCTGTAGCCAGTTTTGCCACTGGGAGCGATCGGACGCTAGGGGCTCCTGGCGTCGCTACTAGGAACAAGGACGCTACATGCGTTTGCTTTAGAAGTCACGCTCGGCTGTCCAGAAAAGCTCCCTTGACAGCGGCCAAGAAGCAAGATGAACACTTGGTTGGTTTGATCTATGTTTCAAGTTTCGTGCTGTTGAGATACCCTAACATCACAAGCATCCACAAACTGTGGTGCTGGGCTGGTGGACTGGTTAGCAGGCGAAACCTACTCTTCGCTTGGTGCAGTCAGAAGCTGAGAAGGGAAGGACTCTTGTCATGCTAATCATATTAGCTGCATAGGCTGCATAGGTGTAACTCACGCCAGAAGGTTTTTCGAAAAAGCAGCATTAGTGCTTCATGACGACACCGCCAGCAATAATTTTTTGCAGGATCAGGGCCGGTGCAAAGACACGTTTGATTGTTGATGGCCCGATGGTTCTTGTGAGACTTCTTGCTCTCTCTCTCTCTCTGTGTATGCGCAACTCTGCCGCTGAGAAGCCTGTCGAGGTCTGTGCGCACCATCCCAGAAGCTTTTCCTGGCGCCAGCCTCTCAGGGGGATTTGGTTGCAAATGGAAGCAAGATTTGTGATGTTGACCGGGCAGGCGTCCGGCTGTACGTTTCTAGTTGTTGATGTTGTTGAGGAGTACCTACTGTGTTCCAAATGAACTGTGTAGCACTATGTGCTGGCAGAGTCAGAGCTCCCAGGTCGGGTCGGATATGAGCAAACCCTGTTATTCATGCTTTACTAAAGTAGTCTACGGTATGCTCTATTTGTCTATCATCAGCCCCCATAAACGAGATACCCTTTTTGATCAAACTAAAGTAGTCTGAACGAGATACTGTGACATGACCTCCTACTTATATATGTCTAAACGAGACAGGGCCCCCACATAATAGATAGTGTATTTGAGTTAAGGACTGTTTTTGAATTCCGCCGCTCATATGATTTGACACAATTTGACAACAGCAACAAGGGACAGATTTTTGATCAACTGCGATGTACCATGAAATATCATCAACATATATATATATACATATCAACGTCGTGGTTTTGTGGAGTTTCTCTTTGCTAGCGAATGTAGGAAGCCAACACCTGCGGCCGCGTGGCCGTGCATTCCTCTGGTAACTTTGTTTTGGTCTCGCTGCTCGCCAGCACAAGCTTGCATGACGGAAAACAGTGATGTAGCAGCCTGACTACGATCTCACAACTGTTTTGAGCAAGGTTCCGAACTCCGAAAGCCAGCACAATCATCGCAGTCTGTGTTCCTTTTCTTCTTTGAGGAATCGGGGCCATGACAGCATCACCGTCTTCCGTGTGACCTGGACTGCAGACTTATATAGCGGCTCTTCAGATTTTAACTGCATAGATTATAGTGGTAGGAAGCATTCTTTCTATCCAAAAAAGGCATTAGCAAACTATAGGCTTGAAGTAACCTGAGGTACATACTTAATCGTGTTACTCAGTTGCTCCCTCCGTGCAGAATGCTGTACGCCGCAGTTCTCAGGTGCATTTCACACATGGTCACAAAGGCCTTTTGTCAACATGCCTGACACAGTTGGGGGGCCAAATGCCGTGGTTGTCGTTTGGAGTGACGATTCGTGCCATTTCGCCCGATCACTTGCTGCCTCAAGTGAACAGTGCCTGAAGGATATGAGGCTTTGTCGGCTTTGTTAGTTGGTGCTTTACAAAAGGCATCAACAGGTCGTTGACAGCCTTATGCACATAGTTGCATAACGCATGCAATTGAGGATTTGCTCATCCTTCCCAAAACCTGCTTCGCTTAGAGATGTTTTTTTCCCCAGATAGCGAAGCTATAGGGGTTCTTACTTCTCAATGGATGGGTTCCTGATTGCGGAAATTGGCTGCCGCTGCCGCTGCCGCCTTGTCTCCCAAGCTTGTCTCCCTTCATGATTT